CACTTTACAGCTCCACCGCCGCGAGAGAGAAAGAGAGAGAGAGAGAGAGAGAGAGAGAGAGAGAGAGAGAGAGAGAGAGATGGTGAAGGGGAGTGGGTGCACGAATACCTCTTTTATTCGGTTGCGCGCTTTTACAGCACCAGGGCCCTGTAGGAACGGTGCATCTTTACTATCGGCCACTGATCGAGCCGCGTTGTGTATAGCATGGCTGGTGGCCACCATCGGTGCTGGTGCCGGCTGCTGCTGGCGCTCCAAGTGGGAGTCCATTTTCGAGATTAGCTGTAGAGGGCACGCCGAAACTACACTGCGCTCATGCACGGCGGAAGTACGGAAGTACGGTGGACCGGGAGAGCGGGCTTGTACATTTGTAAATACGACGTGTTCATTGTTCATGCCATCCGTTCTTGTTGGCGGCACGGTAAAATCAATGCGTGAAAAGGGATAAACTTTGAGGACCTCCTAGGATTTGAGGAAATCCCTTCCAAAGTCCCCTCACTAAAGAAAACAAGTGTGAAATTTTCTCATTTTTTTAAATGAGATATCCTCGAAACATGAGGAGTTTTCTTCAAATTTTACAAGTTCTTCCAACTTGTACCCTGTAACTCGAAGAATCGGATGGTCCTTTCACAGCGTTGGTGGTCCCTGGTCTACACGGGACCGTGGAGTTGCTGCGCCACTTACCGTCGTGCGAGTCGTACATGTAGATGATGTGCTTCCAGCCGTAGAACTTCACGACATCAATGATGGCCTGGTGGTACTCAGGCCTCATGCTGATGGCGTAGTCCAACGACCCCGAGGACGGCGTCAGAACCTGCCAGACAATATTAAAGGTAAATGTGTTTCACAATTAATTGTATTGAAATCATATGCACACTAAATCCTTATGCATTGTGTTGTGCATAAACATGCAGAATTTTATACAGCTATAACATTATGCACAATTTTATGCATGACTGTACAGCTTGTGCATCACTATGCATAATTTGTTATTCATTATGTACAAAATTTGTGCATATTACTGGCTGTATAAAATTTTGCATGTTTGTTATGCACAATAAAATGCATAAGGGTTTAGTGTGTGGAACTATATTAATGTTGTATGTTAATGAACTATTTTAATTGGGCTCGGTAAGAAAATAACAGTCGAAGAAGTATTTCCCGATCTGAGAAAATCTTTGATAAGACTTAAAGCAAATGATAGGATACCCTGGGTTTTAGCGGTTTAAAGGAAATTTGTTAGGAACTCTGATTGTTCCTCTACAACGGCATTGAAACTCTGGAAAGGTGAAGAATTATGATGCTTGTAAGAATTGTAGTGTCATTTTAACAGCTAAATGATCTTTTAAAAGTGATTGAAGTAAATAATTTTCCTCTCCATCCCAATTGAAAGTAAAATTCACAAGACATTGCGACTTTGCACAGAACGTTTATTCGCGCGGCCAGACTCTTCAATAGGGCTGACGTTCCACGCCTCGCGCAGCCCAGCCGATAAATTAGTTGCCTCGCAAGAAAAAAGAAACGAACGCAGCTAAATTTATGACCGCATGCTCAAGCCACTTCGGATGGATTGGGCCGCACACACATAATCATATTGTGCGCGCTGCTGCCATCAAAATTGGGCCGCGCAAAGGGGCACACAAGCTCCTTTTTCTTTGTTTTGTTTTTCTGTTGTGGTTCGGTATGGTGGTCGTGATGGTGAATTGGGATAGGGAAGGATAAAAGCGGATGGGGCATCGAGGAGTCTCGCGGTTCGATTCCCACATCGATATGTCATATCGAGTGTGCTGATGACGGCTGTGCAGCGCGTATGGGCTCTGGCCGTGTTTTTTTCTCCAAATCAGACGCGACAAAGGAGAAATAAAAACCGACTTAATTATAACACGTTAGATAAAAATCATCACGATTCTTTTAAATTTGTCATACATAAAGAGGTTGTTTTGCGATAACTCTTAAATTTAAGAACCGTCAACGAGGTGCCTCTCAAAACCATCAACGGAATGTGTACAGACAACCAACAACACGTGGCATAGCCTGGAGCTCGATCCGCACCCAGCAAAAAATTTATTCATCTTGCCGATCTACTTGGGCGTAGGAAGAAAAAAAACCCATCGGATCATGGCCATGTAGGACCTTACCTTCTCAGGAAACCAAGGCGTGACGAAGGGCATCTGGAAGATGTTTGAGTACGAGTGCAGCGTGTCGAACGAGTCTGGTGACACCGCGCCCAGCATGGCGAACACCCCTCTCGAGAACTGGCTGCATACTGCAAAAGGAAACAAAAGACGCGCGTCAGCAAACAAAGCAAAATTGAAAAGTTTATTCCCCTCATAATAAACGTCCACAGGCGTGTCATGATTAACTTCTTCCCTCGCCCTACATGATACACTTTTAGGTCAAAGCAAACACAAGTAAAAAATAAAATAAAATACAACGAACAAAGTTAGTTAAAGCACACTACCTTTGAAGGAACAGTACACATGGCAGTTTGGACGGTAGACTTGTCAGACACCTTGTCAGACAGTAACATTTTTAGGAGGAGCGAGGCACACATGTGCAAGTGTGCGTTAAAGGGGAGTGAGAGAGGGGGCAAGAGGGAAGCGGAGAGGGGAGGGGGGGCATAGAGGCAGGGAGTTCATTTCCAGTCACACAAGCCTACCGCACCAAACCCATAAAATCTGCTCTAGCGCACCGCATACCTTGTGCACATCCAATTTCCCCGCGCGCACCTCCTGTTCGCCCCCTCCCCCTCTTCCTCTTTTCCACTTTCGCACCCCTTCGCTACTTCGCGAACTTCCCGTCACCGCCGCTAGAGGGCGCTCTGAGCAAGAACCTCGTTATTTTCACGTTCTTTGATCTCTCTGGCGCGTTTGTCTCATCTCCCCGAATCTCATTTTCCCCCACATCCTGGGGTCGGTCGGGCGGCGCGACTGACATCGTGCAGTGCGCCATTGCGCAGCTACTGACGGCCGAGCGAGCCAAACAGGCTGAGCGGGAGCAGCTCCCCAAAGGGAGTACTCGCTAACAATACATGAACAGGTTTGTACCTCTCGGACACACAATAATATAATTGAGTGTGATTTTCACAGATTTGTGATATTTAACAGGAGGTGTGTGCGCGCACACCCACTCACCCATACACACACACAAGCTTTGCAACTGTACGTAATACTAAATTGTTATCTATTGAATCAATTAAAGCGTTTTTTTCTTCCATTTCTGAACAGCGAAGTGAGTGGTGAAATTAAACCGTTTTCACAAAAAATTCCAAATTCAATAGAACTACCCACGAAATACCAGACACTAACTCACGCAGCACCACACTTAATATTACGAAACGCTGCCAGCGTTCATGACGAAACGGGAAAAAAGGGCAACAAAATTAATTCACAAGTCTCAGGCGAAATGAAGGAAGCTGCTGCGGACGACAAGGCGACGGCAGCGACGGCAGCGGCGAGGGACGGAAGGTCTCATCATGTCACTCGACCTCTAATTTCACTTCGTTTTCGTCTTCTTTGCTCTTCTTGTGCCTCCGCTGCGCGCCGCTCTCGCCCCACCTGACGAGGCGCTCCGCTCAGAAGTTGGCGAGGGACTTGTCCTCGGCTGCCGTGATTACAACACGTGTCCGTGGCGTTACATCAGCAGCCCTGCGCGTGTGTGAGTGAGAGCGAGAGAGAAAGAGCGAGACGACTATAAACAAAGGTGCAATATAGGGGCTTTGTCGTTATAACTTACAACAAAAGATTTTGTTCATAGAGCGAGAGACAGGGAGCGCCCGTTGAGTAGGCCGGCCCGTCACACATGCGAGTGGGGCGGGCTTGCCTGCCCCGCGACTCGCAGGCGCTCCTGCCCTCCGGGAAGGATTCGTGGAGCAGCTGCTGAGGCGGCTGGGTCCGCTCTGCCATTGCCAGCCGTATACCGTTGGCCACTGCATTTTGCCAGAATTGCAAGACTACAGAGAGAAAAAAAGATAGAGAGAGAGAGAGAGAGAGAGAGAGAGAGGGAGAGAGAGAGAGAGAGAGCGCAATTGAGCAGCGCACCAGCAGAAATCCATAAGACCGGTCGGTCCTGCTCTTCTCGAGACAGGAACACTGAAGGAGCTGGGGAGATGGAAGGAAGAAGTCTGGAAGAGTAAGCCAATGGGAGCGGCCTTTTTAGTTATTTTAAAATAATACTATGAAGAAGACGTCAAAAAACTGAATAAGGGGATGGAGGCGAGTGGAATGGGATATGGAAGGCACCGATAACGGAACACGAATTAGACCCTAATTGACTTATGGAACGGGCAGAGGTTTACGCGGGCCCGACGGACAATGCAGAGCCAAAGAGAAAACGGATTAATTTTCTAATTTTGGAAGGAGAAAGAAATAATGCGAAATGAGCAAGCGGCACCCATTGCGAGGATGAGAGAGAGAGAGAGAGAGAGAGAGAGAGAGAGAGAGAGAGAGAGAGAGAGAAAGCGACAGACAGGAATAGGGGGAGAGAGAGGGAGAGGGACAGATATGTCTCTATAGAGGTGACAAAAATCACATTGTTTAACTTCTCACTTTACCAGCACTTTTACGAGGGAAAAAATGTAAGTAAAGGCGAAAAATATATATAGGTCAACGAGGAAGATTTCTAAAAACACTAATCTCATTTGGACTGCTTTTTACTTCACTCTCATCCCGAAACTGATCTTTTGCCGCTCTTTGTCATTTTTTATTAGTATCACGGTAAAAACAATGTCTCATTAATTGAGAAAAGAGGGAAAACTTTGAGAATCTCCCAAATTTGAGGAAAACTCCTCAGATATCGCCTCAGATTTTGAGGACACTCCTCAAAAAATAAGGAAAAGGAACATTTTTTGAAAAGACTTCCTCGAAATCCGAGGAACTTTCCACAAACCAATTAGGGATTTTCTCTAAGTTTTCCCTTTTCCCTTAAAAATGAGACATTGTTTTTACCGTGATGAATAAAACGAAACTACACGGAATAATTGACAAAATTGATCAGTAATTCTTGCTGTAGAGAATTCTACGTTTTAAATGACACAAATAATCAGTACAGGTCTGAGAGTATTCTAGGCGCCGTCTGCTCATCTAAGATTGACGCTTACCGCGCTTTGATCCCCCCCCCCTCTCTCTCTCTCTCTCTCTCCCTCTCTCTCTCTCTCTCTCTCTCTCTCCCTCTCTCTCTATGTCTCCGCGCCCACGCGCCTCCCGCGTCTAATTGGCCCTGTGACGTGGAGGTCTTCCGTCCCCGCGCACAATAAGCCAGGGCACCATTGACGCCACACCCCGCCACGCGCCGCGATGGGGAGGCAGGCTGGGGGCAGCAGCGGCAAGCCCTTCGCAGCGCGCCGCGTAGCGCCGCGTAGCGCCCACCCCGTCCCCTTTAATATCCGGCCGAATGGAGAGAGCATCGGGCGGTATCGTTTACATTAAGGAATTTTCTCCGTCAGCAATAAGAAGCGGAACAGCGGTGGCGGCTTCGCGGGGCGAAAATTTCTTATCCTTCGAGGGAGCGGGGGGTTTACTTTTCCTTTTCGGCACTGTCTTTCTCTGTGTGTGTGTGTGTGTGTCTCTCTCTCTCTCTGTCTCTCCCTCTCTCTCTCCTTTGCTTAACTATGCCATTCGTCTTGCACTGTTAAATTCCTACAAAGCAATGCTTTGCAGGCGTTTGCAGAACTGGAAAGAATTTACATCCTTTGTAATTACGAAGCATTTACTTTGCAATTACAAGGAGGTGCTTTGCAATTGCGAAGCAGTATGAAATGAGCTGCAAAGTATTGATTTTGCAATTGCATGGCATCACTTTGTAATTTCAAAGTAATGCTTCGTAGTTGGAAAGGATCTGCAGGTCTGCAAAGCATTGCTTGGCAGGAATCTGACAGTGTGCTCTTTCTTGAATGCGTCATTTAAAAAACACGTTACCTTGGATATGATTAAAAACCTTAGATCCAAACAGGACATGACGAAATCTTTGTACATAGCTGTATTGAAATCTGTAAACACGCTCACGAGTTTTTTAATACGTTATGAAGAGATTTCTTTACACTGCCGTATTACAAAAAGCTGAGGATATTTACAGATTTCAGTAAGCTGTGAACAAAAAAATTGATAATATTTTAGTGTGTACACTGGGAAAACAAAGGTAGGAATCAATATTCTTTCTTGGGGTGTTAACGACTTTCGTGCCTTTACAAGGGTATGCCAATTAATTGGTGCACCAAAAGATTCGCGCCCCTGAAAAGTTTTCGAAAGGTGCCAATTTTAGTGACTCTGAATACGGTCGTGCCTTAAATTTCGTGAATTACAATTTAGCACCTTCAAAAGGCACTAAGACCTACCTTTGTTTTTCCAGTGTACCAACCAATTACCCGCAGCGACTTAACCCCCTGAATTCGGTTTACGGTTGCCGCTGGTTCACCAGATTGCCTCGGCCTAATATGTCGCGAGGGGTGTGCGCTGTTGTCCATCAAAAATCACTTTTTCCTACACAACAAGGTCGCTTCGCCTGCCATTCTGCGCACGTCCAGGGCTAAGCGAGATTGTAACGGAGTTGAGGGGGAGGAGAGAGGGGAAGGGGAGGGGGGGGTAGCAAGGGGCGTACCTCAGCCTAAGCCGATATTGCCGCTGCTTATCCGCGGCAGGTTAGGCGGCGGGAGGCTCGGGTTCGCTTTTAAAGAGCATCCCACACCGGGAGGTGCACGGCACTGACACGCGCGCGCTCCGAGAACAGCAAAAGGCGGTGGCAAAAGAAGAGGCGTTGTCTTGCACAATAGTGCGGTGTGGGAATATAGCTATAGAAACGAAGTTGAGGAACGCCGCAGCGGCCAGCATAGACATACACTGCTGTCGAAATGATAAAGTCAACACACACACACACACACACACACACACACACAAAACAGGTGCCAACAGTCACAGTGAGTTCTCGGCATGGCATGGCGCGATACTAGCAGTCCTGAGCGCCCGGAGGGTATGCAGTCCCGTGCAGCAGAGGTGCAGCGCGGGCCTGCCTACCCCGCGGGCCGCAGGCGGCGGGCGGCGGCCGAGGCACACAAAACCGGTGCGAACGGAACCTGCGACTGCGGATGGATGAATGGGAATGGGTCGATGGAGAGGGTCTCGGTCTCTCTCTTCTCTCTCTCTTTCTCTCTCTATCTCTATCTCTCTCCCACGGTTGCGGGGAGGCGTGCGGTCCGCATTCCTCAGCAAATTCCTGGTCACAATGGTATCGCCTGGCGGCGTGCCGTGGTCCCCCGGCAATCCGAGATGACAA